TTTTCATGCGTTAAATGGTTTTTAAAAAAGTAATGACGACCCTGCTATTTTTTTCTAGCACGTGCATCACTAAAACGAGTGCCAACTCCTGGTATAGCGCGACCCAATATAACAATACGTATGACGGGCGCCTAGAAATCAATAAGCCCAGGCTAGACGATCCAACACTTAACGCTACCAGTACTGGCAAGCTGGTCACCGAAATGTCGGAATCACCGGCATTCATTCTACATGTTTTATTATTGTTATATTGAGATTAGCTCGATCTCGAGTGCTATAGCCCTTCGTTGCCACCACGCTATGAGCAATATTGAGAGATATGCCTATATTGTAGGCGTGTTATTCGCACTACCGTTGTAAAAGTTCTGTAATAGACGTGAGATAGATAAAGACAAGACAAGAAGTAGCGTTCACTAGTGTTTTACTACATCATACAAACATGAAGTCTCAATGTACTACCGAATAGACAGAGCGTTCAACTACATAGTACCCGTATCACGCAACATAATTACACCTTTCTCAGTCGGTGTCTTCTACAAAGAACCCCGAGGCGCGGCCGCGCTCCACTATTTATACCACGTTCCTTCTCCTACGTCACCTCTCGTTATAGGTTTCTTCTCTGACCAACCGGCCATATCAAATACGGGGAATGCAGTCCTACGACTGCTACACTGCCTACCAAATATGGTGGGGTGTGAGTGTCTCCGCACTTGGCTGGACTCCATAGTCCGATTATGGCCCTGATGTCATAGGTCATCTGGCCAGTGTCTAGGTTGTCACAATGCACAATAACTCGGGGAAACCTTAGCCCTGATTTTGGCTATTGCTTACTCTCCTGCGTTCTCGGCTTGCCCGATGTAGCGTCCACTCACAGCCTGTTGTGACATGTCTTCCGACACTGCGGCGCCACGTACGATTGCGTTTCCCCGCATCGCCATCGCTTTCGCGTGGCATATGGAATTTGCCCGCTTACAATATATTTCAATTCAGGACAATTTAACATGGTGGTCATATCTTACTGGTCATACCTTTCCTATTTTTTTAATAATATATTTTCATTAACGTTTTCTTAAATATGTCTTATTTTTAGACGAAAGAAAGAGACTCAAGGTGACGCTATTTCTTCTATTTTCCCCTTCAACGATCGTCAGCTTTCTTCATCTCCTCGTGAAGACCGGGCTAAACGGCGCCGTCTCACTGCTAACTCTACAGAAACAGAAGAGCTTCATGTGCCAGCGGCTGCTGAGGAAGTAGAGCTTGATTACTCCCCTCCCGAAGAGGATTCACCGAAGGTCGAGACATCTCAGGACTCGCAGACGACTGATTCGGCATCTCAGTGCTCACTTCTAAGTGTCTCAAATGCTCGAGAAAGCATTCAACTTTATGAACATGACAATTTTGCTGTACAATATTTCACTGGTTTTGATAGCTACATACATTTTAAATTATTCATCAGTGTACTTGCACCTGCCATTCACCATTTGAGCTTCAAATGTCATCTGATTTCTCCAGAAGACCAGTGCTTCATGACACTTATGAAACTCAGGCAGTGTTTTGATGATGCGTATCTTTCGATAAGGTTTAAGGTGTCTCTGTCAACAGTGTCAGACATAATTAATACTTGGATAAAAAAAATTTCAGCTGAGCGAAATCAACATGTGGCCAGATCGTGAAACTATTGACGCGTATATGCCAACAAATTTCAACAAACTGTTCCCAAACACAAGAGTTATTTTAGATGCAACCGAGACTCCTATTCACAAACCAAGTAGAGTTGATGACCAGAGTGTTACATTTTTTACGTACAAAAACAAGAACACTTTAAAAACGATGATCGGCTGTAGCCCAAGCGGCCTTGTTACTTATGTCAGTGATAGCTATGGTGGTAGCGCCAGTGACCGTCAAATTATTGAGAGGTCTGAGCTGTGTAGTAGTGGTATGTTTGACAGGGGTGACAGCATCAAGTCAGAGAGAGGAATTATGGTTCAGGATCTGTTTGCTAGTAAAGACGTGTATGTAAACACGCCGTCAATGCTCAAAGGAAAATCCCAACTTAATGCAGAGACAGTTGTTAGGAATAGGGATAGACCCGTATCGCATCTAAGATGATTCATGTAGAGAGGGTCATTGGTCTAAGCAAGACATTTAAAATATTAAAAAGAGACCTGCCCCATCAGAAGATTTCTCTCGGTGGAAGAATTGTTAAGGTGTGCTTCATGATTTCCAACTTTAGGCGAGCTATTGTCTCCAGTAATGCCTACTGTCTGTAGTAAATGGCTGCGTTTTAGAAATAAACATATACATAATTTGTATTGCAACTTGAGTCTTTGTAGCTTTACTAATCTCAATAAGCATTACATAACTCCTGAGCACACACAAAAGAATAAACACCCACTTCACATATGCACCACTAATATCACCGTGAATCTCAATAAACATATTACATAACTCCTGAGCACACACAAAGGAATCAATCAACACCCACTTCACATATGCACCACTAATATCACCGTGAATCTCAATAAACATATTACACAACTCCTGAGCACACACAAAAGAATCAACACCCACTTCACATATGCACCACTAATATCACCGTGAATCTCAATAAACATATTACATAACGCCTGAGCCCACACAAAAGAATCAACACCCACTTCACATATGCACCACTAATATCACCGATACCGTGCACTATCTAATATAATCTTCACCTCTGCAGATGTGCTGCCTTCCAGCGGCAACTGTTTCTAGCGGCCCGTTCTGTGGCCATAAAAATAGATAGACAACTATTGTTGTCTATCTATTTCTATGCTTGTGACAGTGGTAGATTGAACCCATGAGCGAGAGCGCCATCTGTCGTGGAGTTTGGCTACAGCTGCCGTCAATGCAGACTGTCACCGTGAACACTACTGTCCCAGACTTCTCCCTTGCCTCTCTCTACCAGCACCGCAACTTTCGCAGCGTTGCACTAACACGATCGACAACATTGTAATCATACAGAATTATTTCGCAAGCAAATACACGATTTCAAACATCGTACATCTTGTCAATTTAACGCGAGCAGAAAAAAGTCTACCGTTTAGGCGCACTCGCCGTGAAGATCAGGCTCCGCTCACCGATGATTGGTTTATATTACAGGGCTTGTGCGGGGCTGTAACAGTGTTTTTGGTGGGAACAGCTCAAAGCACTCGCTGCTGTCGTTAGCACAGCTTCGCGTGCGTAGTTTTAGTACGTTTAGTACGTTTAGTGCGTTTGTACGTTTAGTGCGTTTTGTACGTTTTGTACGTTTAGTGGTTTATCACGTTCAGTACGTTTAGTACGTTTAGTACGTAGTTAGCACGCGCGTGGTAGCGCACGGATCAACAGCTAGTGCACATCTAATCTGCTGATCTTCATCGAAGCGTGCTTCACTAAATAACTGCATCTACCTGCGGCAATCGTTCGTGCGCTCGTGCTCCACTAAAAAACCGCATCATCTGCTCGCGGCAGCTGTGAGTACCACTAGAACACCCCCCCCCCCCGTTCGTGTAATTAGTTTATTTGGTCTTGATCTTCGTAGCTGGGTTCGATGGCAGTCTGGAAGTCCTCGAAGTATCCGAATAGGAATTCGAACGTTGGTCGATTCTGCGGGCTCTCGTCCCAGCATTTCACTTGTATTTCGTAGACAACCGGCGGCGTTCTGCGGTCGCGTGGCATGCGGTAGCCTTGCTCTAGCGCCTCCAGAACCTCGCGGTTGCTCCTGCCTGTATAATTTGAGGTTAATTGTACCTCTCTCTATCTCTCTCTCTCTATCTCTATCTCTCTCTTTCTCTCTCTTTCTCTCTCTCTCTCTCTCTCTGCTCTATCTCTTCTCACCCCCCCCCCCCCCCCTCCCCTCTCTGCGCTGCTCTATTTCTTCTTGCTCTCTCTACTCTCTCTCTCTCTCCTATTTCTTTCTCTTCTGCCTTTGCTCTCTGCCTCTCTTTTTCTCTCTTTCTCTCGCGCATGCTCATCTCTCTCTCTGCTCGCCTCCCGCACGCGCTCCTCGGCTCTCTCTCTGCTTCTTTCTCTCTCTCTCACTCTGCCTCTCTCTCTCTCTCTCTCTCTCTCGCTCGCTCGCTTTCTTTCTCTTTCTCTTTCTTTCTTTCTCTCTCTCTCCCTCTCAATTAAATATAAATAATGCATATAGATAATTACTGGCTCTCAATGCCATTAATGATATCTGACTAGAAATCTCAGTTTAACGCAAGTTTTAAGAATTAATAGCACATCCGTGTACTTTAACAGAATATGAGGCGAAAAACATACCAGCGTATGGCACTTGACCTAGAGTGAACAACTCGTGCAAACAAGACGCCGAACGACCAGACGTCCGATTTTATCGTAAACTTTCCCATGAGAGCTGCTTCCGGTGCCGTCCACTTGATTGGAAACTTCGCACCTGTAAAATGGCAAGTGATATTCGATAATCAGCCTCACACAAACACACACACACACACACACACACACACAACAAGAGTCACACACACACACACACACACGAACACGGCACACACAAGAATAAATATTTATACGCTCTTGATGGTATCAGGAGTGAATAATAATCGAATCTATTATTGTTACTCCTGATGGTATCTATATAACACGTGTACGTAGTGTCTATACACATATATCAGAAGTTGATATCACTCACTGCAATATATGTATACAAAGCAACCAGCCTCTCACCTTGTCTAGCAGAAATACTCGTCGTCCTCAATGACTCTGCCAGTCCAAAGTCGCGACTTTCGCCGTGTTATTTTCTCCGACGAGCACGTTACGCGCAGCTAGGTCTCTATGTATCAACCGCTCGGCTTCAAGGAATGCCATGCCGCTCGCAACCTGTTCATATATATACAATCATTAGCGTGATGGTGTATGCGTAAAAATTATGTAATATGTATATTAATATGTATATATATATATATATGTATTATATATATATGTGTGTGTGTGTGTGTGTGTGTGTGTGTGTGTGTGTGTGTTGTGTGTGTGTGTGTGTGTGTTTGTGTGTGTGCGTGTTGTGTGTGTGTGTGTGTGTGTGTGTTGTGTGTGTGTGTGTGTGTGTGTGTGTGTGTGTGTGTGTGTGTGTGTGGCATTGTGATGTGTGTGTGTGTGTGTAGTGTGTGTGTGTGTGCTGCATGCGTTGTGTGTGGCGTGGCGTGCGTGCGTGCTCGCATCGTGCTCGCATGCGTGTGTGGCGTGGCGTGCGTGCGTGTAATGCGCGCGTGCCGTGCATGCGGCTAAGACTTGAGTTTATAAATAGCCACTCCGTGGTCATTCAACGCGTGGAGGGAACTGCGCATGCGTACTCCTATCGTAACGAAAACATGATATACCTGAGCAGCGACGTCAATCAGTTGTGAAAGGTCGAGGTTTTTACCATGATCGCCTCTCAGGTAGTCCAACAGGCATCCGTACTTCATAAACTCCGTGACTGAAACGTACATAAGCGAATGAAAGATAAGAAGATGAAGACGACGTTATATGCTCATGCGCACTGCAGGAAGAACGAATTTTGGGAGGAGGGTTTAGAGGGTTGGAGCCCGTGGAGAGGCGTTTGCAGGTTCGATGCGGGCAGCCTGTTCTGCTAGCATCTATGACAAATACGACATACGCATATACGCTCTCGCTTGGCCACTATTTGTCATAGGAAATTCTTCCTATGACATACAATTATTGTTGTATGGTTTGTGCGGCATCAATAAGGATAGATTTAGAGGCGCTATTATGACGCAAGCAAAGTGAATTGTCAGGCTGTAAAGCGAACGAAAGTTGACTCGCACAATATTTGTCATAGGAAGAATCTTCTTGAGACAAATAGTGTCATAGGAGAGCGTATATGCGTATGTCGTATTTGTCATAGATGCTAGCAGAACATGTTGATGCGGGGGAGGAGGGCGGCGGGAGTTCAAGACGCTCTGACATAGAGCACGCACTATAGTACCGCCTTCATCTTCGAAGGCAGCATTTTGCAATATGACAAATGACAAATGACACATTGCTTTGGTATTAAGCGAGCGAGTTATTTCAATATGTGTTGAGGCGAGAGGTGTAAGTTAAAAAGAAATTAATGAGTAATCAGTAATTAATGATTAATGATCGATAATTAATCAGTAATTATAACAGCGAGATTATTATATAGATTAATATCATATTAGATATATATATATATATATACTAGATTTTTATTTTGTACAAGGTTACTAGATTGCATGTAACAAACACCCACCAATAAATATCGGTTCTTGCAGAGTGCAGACAGCATACAGTTGCACTAGTTTATCATGCCGACACTGCTTCATGATTTTAGCCTCGTCCAGGAAGGCAGCTGGCGACATGGCTCCTGTTTTCAATGTCTTAATAGCAACCTCGGTCACGCCTTTCCACGTGCCTGGAAAATGTTTCTCAATCCAATTCAGTCTAATCACAGCAACGCAGCAGCTACTGCTAACCTAGACCTAGCGCGTGTAAGTTTTCCAAGTGATATAATGTACGCGTTTACTTCTATATGCAGCTGCATTACGAAACGTTACCTATTAGGTTATTAAGCAGGTGATTTCCAGGAGGAAATACAATACGGTTGCAATTTTACCTATTATACTGTTACAGTATAGGCACTAATTTACGCGTGAAGCTGCAGGAAGAAATAATATGCGGGTTCGAAAAAAGCGTATAACAGGATGATTTTTTTAACGAAAATATGATCGTTTCCAAATCTATGTATACTCACCATACCAGACCTCTCCAAAGTTTCCTGCACCTAGCTTCCTTATCAACTGAAGCGATTCCCTCGATATCTCCCACTGGTCGCGGGTTTCCTTGGATATGTCCCACATTTGCGGCTTGGGTTTTTGACAGGGAACGGTAAGTCGATGACAAAGACCATCTGCATTCTCTGTTGCAAATAGAATCAATGCATTAACCCACAATAGTTCAATAATATAGCAACGTATAAAAGACTGAATTTTGAAAAATGATGAATAGATAATGGGGAGAAAGAGAGAGAGAAGGGGAGAGAGTGAAAGAAAAAACGCAGAAATAGAGTGACGGAAAACAGAGACAAGGGGAGTGAAAAGGTCACTTAAGCGTGAGTGGGAGAAAAGGAAGGAAGCTACTGAAAAAGAAAAAAGATTTCTTACCTCTATAGTAGGTTACCAAATCTTTCAATGAGTCGAATGTCCGGCGTGGTGTTATGTAGAATCCTCGCTTATTATCCAGATTGCGAATCTTGTAATGTTTCACCACGGTCCCTCGATTAGGATCATTATCAAGTACGGACAATGAAAATGCATCTGTAGACTAAAGAAACGTGACAAATGGTTAACACAGAGCTTTGCCTGCGTACGAGTATAGACTTTAAGCCATCTCAGTCATACTCTACTACTATATACTAATCTATTTATCTATATATATATTAATATTATATTATATATATGTAACAGACATAACACAATCGATATTTAAAATCCTCTTATTGCGAGATTCCGCGTTTCAAACATCTTCATGATATATGCATCATTCAATTCAAATTCTGGTTATTGTTGGCTTATAATCACTCTTAGTTGAATATCCATAAACTCCGACGCATACAGGACCATAACAACAACTAATCACTGTAGAATCCGTAAATTATTTCAATAGGACGCGTTCCACTGGCGCGAATAAGCGGGATGCAATTAATCACCGGTTTTTGCATCGCTATTGTGTGAGCCGAGATTATTACTGTTGATGCATAATGCCTCACTAATAATCGCGATCAAGCATCGACGCTCGCAAATCGCACTTTTGGACTGCCATGGTATTTGGATTAGCGAGCGTGATTATGGGTTGCGCAGGGGCCGGTGTGTGAACCGCTCGCGCAAATCAATCACACTGATTTTCATATCCCATCATTTAACAAGAGAGGAGGAGTGGCATGCCCCATGCAAATCATTCGGCAGTGAGCATGCCCCAGTTCGAAATAATAGAATTATCGCTCGCCTCGGCGTATTAGCGCGATTTTTCGCACTGGTGAACAACACACAATTATCTCGGTATTTCATCCGCGATTAGCATCGCGGTTTCTTGTGTGTGAACACGTCTAATAATACTAGACCACAAGTTGGCGTTAAAACTACAGCTATGATCAAAACGAGGCAAACCAAATTCGCTAGCTCCTCTTCAATGAGTTCAGGCTTCACTCATGAGCTAGCCAATCTGCCTGTACCAGCCAGCCAGCCAGCTTATTCATATTATCAGGAGTCTATCAAAGGAATCTTTTGATAGATTATTCATATTATATTTAGTGAGTGTAACGTTTATTCGCATATAACTTGTATAGGGATTTCCCCGTTACATACCTGGTGTAGTTTCGCTCTCCCTCACTAGGAAGGTGCCAACAATGTTTCCGGGAGTCTGCAGTTGGTTTCCTGCTTCTTTTCTCCCAATTCTCCCCAAATACCAACTAAAATCACAACATTATTAGTCTAATGGACAATTTAACCCGCACACACGTATGCACGCATGCACGCATGCACGCACGCACGCATACACACCAACAACATGGTAGCTAAACAAAATTTCAGGTTGAAACCCTCTCCAAGTCTGCTTATGCTAATGATGAGGGCCGTCAGATTCCATTTCAACTGCTTTAGGTATAAATAATATATTGCACAACACTGCAGCTGGATGCGATGCTGATTTATTGCGCATTCTCCAGCTAATGCCAGGTATTAATTTTTGCGTGCAGTCGTCGACTGAATCACATAGTTAAAGATACTTGCTTAGGTACACAACAGCTTTGGTTGAGGGAGTATTCGAACACCTAATCCTTCTATAATAGAGCTAACTGTGTTATAATTATTGTATTATTATTTATATATTAATGCCTGCTGTTGGGGGCACTATGCTCTCATAGTGTTGCTGAGGGAAGGAATAGTGCCCGAGCGGTAGCGAGGTCCCTAATTTGCCGGTGCATTCGATGTAACAAAACGTTCGACACAAACACAACCGCCGTTCGAAACTCTTGCGTGGCGCCCAGACGCATGAGATTCGTGACGTAAACACAATGCGTTATAATAACAATGCGTCGCGCAAGCAATAGTGCCCGCTCAGGCGGGCACTATTGCTTCATAGTGCCTGCTGCGTTATCCAATGGGATTTCAACGATTTATCACGTGATGCACTAATGTGTAATATTATTGCGTAATATTATAGTGCAATATTATTATTGTGTTTTAATAATTGTGTTATAAGTGTGTAAGTAATTTGGACGCGTTGTCTCCTAACCAGTGCGTGGGATTTACTTACTCTTCCGTGTTCACTGTTGCCACAACTGCTACGTAGTTGCTTGGAATGTAGCCTGACTGCTGACTTGTAATGTGCTTTGCCTGCCACCAATCCTGATCGCTGCCATGAAAAATTAACAAGTATGAATTATCGAAAACCAGGTTACTTTGAAACAGTGACAAGCTTAACGTTACAACGCAGTACCCAAACAATACTGATGTGCCTTTTAGCGACTGTGTCCAGAACTTGTTACGCAGTAATACTTGATGTAGAATGGAAAATTCGACACAACAAATAACTACTAAAACGATCATTACGAGCCTGTTATAGCGATGGTGATGATTGGTAGAAATGCTACTTACTCACGATTCAGAACTTCCAGTCTATCACCTTTCTGGAAACTGAGGTCGTCAGTGGCGCGCGCCTCATATGTGTAGAGGGCTTGCACGATATCTGAATAATTTCACACACACTACATATATATATACTAGCTATTACCCGTCCTCCAGACGGGTTTGAGTGGGGTATGATTTGAGGAAGGCGGTTTAATCATTTATCTCTCTCTTTTAGTTGAGGATGTATTTCCNCACGCACACGCACACGCACACACACGCATACATACATACACACGCACACGCACACGCACACGCACATGCACACACTCACACGCACACACGCACACACGCACACACATACACACACATACAACTGCAGCCGTATCTCGTTGGGGTTTGTCTTAAATTTTCGTCTCACAACTGTGCGCGGCAGTGATTGGCTGTTTATACACCGCAGCCGCAATGTCTTTGGTGTGTGCGTGTGCGCGCGTGCCGGTGTGCGTGCGTGCGTTCGTGCGTGCGTTCGTGCCGTGCGTTTAGTGTGGCTTGCTATGCTAGGTGNCATACCACACACACGCACACGCACACGCACGACACGACGCATACATACATACACCACGCAACTACGCACACCACACCACATGCACACACTCACACGCACACACGCATCACACGCAACACACCATACACACACAATAAACACATGCTACGCCGTATGCTCGCTGGGTTTGTCTTAAAGGTGTTCGGTCTCCACAACTGTGCGCGGCAGTGATTGGGCTGTTAAACACCGCAGGCCGCAATGTACTTTGGTGTGTGCGTGTGCGCGGAGCGGGTGCCGTGTGCGTGAGCGTGCGTTTCGATGCGTGTGGCGTTCGTGCGTGTCGTTCTTAGTGTGGCTTGCTTATGCTAGTCTGAAAAGGGTCCACCTAAATTAAGATGCTTATTAATTAACCTTTAATCTACAGATTTAAGTATAGGCTACATTTCATTAAACGCCGTGAAGAAAAACACGTTAATAGTTTAACACAATTTCAAAAGGTTTATGGGGTATATATAGTGTGGTATGGGTGCCCTCTTAAAAATCGAAACGAGTCCCTAAAAATGTCACGCGCACCCCATTACAACATTAGCACACCACCAACGGCGGCCACACACACAACACACGCACACGCACACCAGCACATATCATACACACACACACACACACAAAACACACACACAGCACACCACGGCACACACACACGCACACACACACACGGCACACACACATACGCACTCACACACACACACACACACAGCACATACATACATATCATACAATGTACAGGTTGTACACACACGCACACACACACGCACACACACACGCAACAACACACACACACACGACACACAACACACGCACACACGACGACACACACAGCAGCACACAACACAACACACACACAACACACCACACACAGCATACGGTAACATTACATACATGTACAGTATGTTACACACGCGCGCACACACCGTGCACATTGCGGTAAGGCAGGTGATTCACATGCTGTGATTGGACTGCGCATGCGGATTTGGCGATCTTAAAATTTGCTGCGGGTTTGCGATAAGAGCACGTCAATCACAAGGTGATTCACGTACCTACTCTGCTTGGACTGCATGCGCATGCGGATTTTGCGATCTTAAAAGTTGGTGCGGGTTTCCGCCGATGAATGCCGAAGTTTCTTCGGGCACATAACTTTTTAGGAAATTGCCTGAAAAAGTCACTTTAACGTCGAAAAATCGCGTTCTAACGTAGCGGAATCTAGTCGCGACGCCCAGAAGGGGCCCCAGCTCGATTCGCGCGAGCACACGCGGCACGGTTTCGGAGGAGATACGTAAAACGACACTTCGGCTCCCTCCACTATTATATAGTAGATGTTATACATATATATATATATATATATATACGGACATGTGTAAATGTGTTCAAAAGTGAATCGAAATGCTATTCATTGCTAACCTAGTGTAGCAATTTCTTAAACAAAACTTATTTTACAATTTTTATTTATACATTTATAATGGCAACAACAAACCACAAAGCTAAATTCCCGTGGGGTAGCTCAGTCGAGCTGTGCCCGTAGAGGCTGTCCAGGCCTGTTCTTCACACATTTCGATTCACTTTTGAACACATTTATATATATATATATACGTGTGTGTGTAAACACGACATTTTAGGAATTTCAAAACTGTTTATCATCATACAATATTTGAAATAGCGAACTCTGCGAATAGATATCAGAACAAACATATTTATATTTAGAAACATATATCACGAGTCTATAATTGCGATAATAATCTATGTTATGGACTATGGCTTTATAAACACAACATAATATTAGAAATTAGGAAATGGTGTAGCGTCATCGAGATACGTTATCTGAATTAACGTTGCAAATCGAGATTTGTCATTTTAAACTAATATGTATGTGGTAGAACATTTGCTGTAGGATAGAGTTTGTTCATAATTTTTCAGGTACAGGAAAAACGTTCCTGGTTAAACAGATAGCGAAACACTTGAGAAGCTTGGGAAAAACGGTTGCTGTGTTAAGCACAACAGGTATGAACTACTACTAGGCTATTGAGAAGTGATTAATAACATGAAGCTTTGCACAATAGAAAGATTTCATAACCCGTAAAAAATAGAAACATTGAGCCATTTGAATGTCTGGGATGCAAATACAACATGTTGCTGCTAAGTTGGAATGAAATCTAATAGCAAAAATAGGGCAGCATATGTTGTATGATACAGAATCATTAGCGTGCGAGGTAACGTTTATTTGCAAAATGAAATGATATAAGTATGTTAGTTTTTAAATTAAAAATAATTTTTCTGATATGTATTTTGCAAACTTTTAGGCGTGTCAGCTAATGCACTGCTGGAGCAGGGAGGATTGACGATCCACCGATGAGCTGGAATGGGAGATGGCCGGTACAGTGCCGAACACCTGGCTCAGCTAATCACCACTGACCATGCCTACACAACCGTACGAAACAACATCATGTCAGTTGATACCATTCTAATTGACGAAGTCTCTATGCTTAGTCTAAAAACACTGGAAACATTGGAAACAGTTTGCAGAAAGCTAAGGTCATCGAACCTCTTCTTTGGTGGTCTACAAATCATACTGACTGGGGATTTTTATCAGCTACCTCCAGTGCCCAATCCAGAATATGGTGACCACGGTCAATTTTGTTTTCTGTCTGACGCCTTCATCTGCATCCAACACCAGCTGCAGCTTGTCGAGGTGCTTCGCCAGCAAGATGATGCATTAATCACCTGCATCAACGAGCTAGCTAGGGGTGAATATTTATCCCAAGGCTCTTGCTCTCTTCTGGCTGAGGTAGCTCGCTCTTTGAAGGCGTCAGGGCAGCTTGTTCTATTTGCAAGAAATTTCGATGCTGAGCTATTCAACGCAGACCAGCTCAGCCAGCTGCCAGGAAAGCAAACCATGTACACGGCAACGGACACTGGAAATAGTCAGGCATTGAAAAGAAGGGCTAGAGTGCCAAAGTATGTTGCTCTGAAAGTCGGCGCACCTGTTGTTCTGACCACTAACCTGTCAGAACAACACTTCAATGGCCTGTTAGGTACCGTGTCAGAAATTACACCTGATGGCCCACTCGTCAAGTTTTCATTCCAAATTCATCAACAGGCAATACTGATCAGACCTCACCTATCGTCAATTTTTTCACCGGCGCATCAGAAGGTCATTGCAACACGGAAGCAGCTACCCTTACTGCTTGCGTTTGCAATGACCATCCACAAGTGTCAAGGCATGACACTGTCATCAGTAGAGGTCCACTGCCAACACATCATTGCAGCTGGCCAACTCGGAGTCGCTGTCGGGAGAGTAACGAGCAGGGCAGGACTTTGAGTGGTCGGCTTCAATCCACACTGCGTGACTCCACATCCCTTGCAGGTAACTGAGTTTTACAAACAGCTCACGAACAGCGACGCGCAAGCTGACCTCAGTTGCTGCAAGAAACCACACGCAGTGACATCAGATGTGTTGGCACCTACTGCAGATGACAGTGGCTCCTCATTTTCCGAAAGCGAAATGCTGCAGATTGATGAAATGCTGGCCACCATTCCTGATGTGCCGGTTCAGCAGGCAGCTGATGGAGAGACTGTGATGGAGAGCGGATGCCTCGAAGCAAGCATTCGAGAGATACTCCCTGACCAGAGTCCTCTGTCAGTCGATGACTTGCTAGCCGAGCTGCGTCCAACAGATCCGGTGACTCCTATTCAGCAGCAGTTGATTGCCATTGGTGATACTCTACTTCATTCTGGGAAAGAGAGGATGCAAAATTTCATTAATCAAACCTGGATTGGTATTTGTAATAGCTTCGCGCAGCATCTATCGCAACTCAAGTCGGAAACGCTAATCAAATGCAAAGATCTTACCAGCTTCCACACCAGCAGACACACCTTCATTGGTTCTGTCGCATACAGGCAAAGCTGTGCATCACTGATGGAATGTACCCTGGCACAGCTAGATGCCAGCCAAAAGCTGTTCAGCTGCACAGCCGCCGACATCATTGGTCGCGTTGTCTTCGAAACAGCATCGTCTCATGCCGTAAAAAAGCAGCAAGCTGAACTTGACATTATTCCACTGGATGAACTACAGCTAAGCGCAGAGGGAATGGGAAAGATACGGTATGTGGCTGGTCGATGTGTAGCCAAACTAACATCTAAACATCGCAACAGTTGGCGACGCCTCATGTATGCTGAAGGGTCACAACAGAAAAAGCTCTGTAAGAGTACAGTTGAAACACTAAACTATCTGGACTGTCTCACTGCATCCTATGCAGATCTTCACAAAACAAGTGAGATGCCAGAAACACTGGAAGAAACTGCTCGGAAGCAGAATATATGACAGTCACTGTACAACATCAGTGACAATGCCTTTCGGTTTTTCTTGCTACTAGAGAAACACCGTGTGCATTTAGAAACCAAAGGCCGGTTTGATGTCGAGCAACAGGATGTCATTTCTGTTGTTGAGGCGCAACTTCTCGACACAGCAGAGTTGAAGGAGGCATGGAGGGCATTATTTCTTTCCACGGATGTTACAGAAAGTGCCAGTCTTGATACTCTGTTTCGGAAGATCGTCCATTTATTTGTCCTGGTTGCAAGCAACTACTTCCGAAAAGAACTTATCAGGTCCTACGGTCAAAAGAAAACAGAGTCCCACAGGCGGCAAATTCACATGAGACACCAGAAAGAGAAAGACCTAACTGCTAAACTGTCTTTGGCCACAATTGCAGCAGACACATCAGAAAGGAAGCAACTGACACATCTTCAACTCAAGAGCATTTTGAGATCCAACCCCAACTTCTTCTCTGCTAGCACATACTCAAAGGAAGAGCTAAAAACGTTTTTCAAGGCCTACACTCTACCATGGCGAACACGGAGATTGAAAACACAACTTGCGGAGGACCTCTGCGCAAGAATACTTGCAGTAGACAGCATGTCAGAACCGAATGCGTTTGGAGCATCTTCACCCATCAGCTCGACGCAGATGTCCTGCGAGCGACTTGTGATGAGCCACAGCCTGGTCCCTCTGGCCTTCAACACCATACAATGACCCCAACAATAGAAGCTCAACCAACTACGAGGAAAAGGGCAACTGCTGCTGAAAAAGGGAAAGGAAAAAGAAAGCACTCCAGGTCAGAAAAAAAGATCGCACAAGAACCGGCTTACATCTGCCCAACGTGCAGCAAGGATGTGGGGGACTCCCCATGTGTTGGTTGTGATATAAGTGGAGCTTGGCTACACAGAGAATGTGCTGGCTTACTCGATGATAACAATTGGGCTGAAGTTTCTGCGAGTGACGAGCCGTGGACATGCCCAAAATGCTTTAACATGCAACAGTAAATAATAGATCAATCGTTGTGTAATCATAACCCTACAGCTATGTCTCCACACACGCGGTATGACACGACACAGCAAAACGCAGTGCCATTGCGCTGAAAGAAATGCATTATGATTTCGCGCATTGTATTTGAGCCGTGGCATTTCATGCCGTGCAGCATGTGTGGAGACGGGCCTTCACAAGTATTCATACCTGGAGAATAATACCTGCGTTCCGCTAAGCATCACTCTTCTATTTCTTCGGATTGATGGGCTTCAGCACTCGACATGAGAAGGGCTCTGCTGCTACTCTAGTGTTGCAACGACTGCTGTGTCCGCGGTTAATATGATGGTGTTCATACCATACATAAACTGCTTGTAATTGGGGTTGTCATTGGCCCCATGCGAAATGGCTCTCTGCTGGCAGAAGATGTTTTCGACCGAGTCGCTGTTGACTCGAGCAGCATTTATGCTTGTGCCAGGATGGGTTTTCTGTTTCCGGCGAACAAGACTTTCAAAGCCCAGAATGGTTGACTTCATGTCGAAGCGTGTCTCCTGTGACATCAACTTTTTCCGCTTCACGATGGCAGTGTCCTGTAGATCGCTCATCACGGCGTCCTTCCACGATGTGAACCATTGCAGTGCTCTCGCATTGCACTGGAGCCGATCGTCTTCTGCTGATGTTATAGGACGTGTGTCGGTGAAGTTCGCAATCAGAACACTGGTTGCCTCCAGCAGCTGTATCGCACCGTTGAGGCAATCTCCGTTTCGACCTTCAGCTTTCTGGTAAGCCTAGTGAAAAGTCGTGGTATTATTACGGCATATGTTTAAATAAGAAAATGGCATGTACATGTACGGGGCATGAAATTCCAAGTTTTTCTGTACAGGCTCAATGCCCATAGCGCTGGTAGCAGCATTTTTTTACCAGCAACCACCATAATTTACTAGCACTCATTAATTAAAATGTTCCTTAAAAATAAAAATGACTGCTTCTCTGACTTTTGTTTGTCTGAAAAAGGTTTTATTATGGAGCATCACGTAACAGCTGTTGAACTGACAATAGGTATAATGCAACTCGTAAATGATGTTCACTATATTACAAAATTCTAACCATGCTTAAAATCAATTTGTTTTTACTTTGAACAGATGAAGCATTTACTTGTCAAGGACGTCTTCTGCCAGTCTGTTTCGCATCTTCTGACCATTGTTTGGCCAGATGTGCTCATCCGTCAGGACCGCATATCCTTGAGACCTCACTTGGGTTCGCTTACCGGTCCCACTGATAGGCTTTCACCCACATTTCCCAGGTAATAAAGCCTGCCTGATGCAACAGTAGTCTGGTGCTATTTCTTCCAAATCCACTTTTGATAATATTATTTCTTATTTTCTTGAAGAGGTGCTAAAGTGTAAAAAACATATACTATTTGAATGCTATTAAATTATGACCCTAGAAAATAACATCTGGTACATGAACTCATTTCTCTGTGGGAAAGTTTTTTATCTGAAATTATCTGTGATATGGATATGTATGTTTCAGTATTATACCTTCGGATCCATCATCATGACAAGTGGCAGATCTGGCGAGCAGGCATTGTGTGTGGCGAAGGAAGCTGACACTGCAGCAGAACCGGAGCCATTGAAATGCATTTTCAGAAACGACCTGTTATGGACGGCACCATCGAAGCAAGCGTAGTTTACCTGCAAAGGTTAATTTTTTTAATAATTTCTAGATGTTAGGGTTCACATTGTAAGATTTTACTCACTGATTAGCTGCCATTGTATGAAAGTAAGTATAGACGTTCATTCCTGCCAAGTGTGGTATCTCTTAGTCTTTCTATGAATAATATTTTGTATGACATGCAAAATATTTACTCACACTGAACCCCCATTCAATCAGTCCACGCATAGCTTTCCAGAACAGAACGTATATATCTGGTGCTGTTGCTTCTGCTGTCGGCACATGCATAAATGGGAAGCGAAAGCCACTGTCCCCTTGGAACATGAACAGCAAGACATGTGTGGCGAGTTGCGCTGATTGTTTACCTGGAGAAAAGTAAATTGTTGCAGAAAAGCGTTTATAAATTGAGAGTAATCTAGCTAAATATGTCACTAAATTTACTAAATTTAGATTAACAAGCATACAAAGACCTATATATTTAACATATTCTTACCTTCTTTCAGTACTCGCATAGCAGAGCATTCAGCTCCCATGTCGACCAGCCCGACGATCTTCACTTTATCTTCAGAGTATATGATCTGAAGGTCAGGCTGAATCGACATCTCGTCGAAAACTATGCCTCCAGTCATGCCATGCGATGGCACTTGCTTGGCTTTTGCTTCCTCGTACATCCAGCGGAACATATCGTTGTTGGGTCCAGGCTTCTGGTGTAGTGAGTTTTTATAATATTGAAGTAGACGTCTACTTGGCAGTGTAACTAACATGCCAAGTGACGACAGCTTCTTGTAGGTGCGAGGACTGCTGGCCCACAGCGACAGACATGCCTTCATAACCCTATGTGTTGGATAGTGTAAAAAAACATTAAGATTTTGTGCAATTGCCATTGGATTACATGAGCACTGTAACACACCTCGGTATGAGTATAACCATGTGCCTGTGAAGTTTTTACAAGACAGTATGGATAATATTGTGATATATGTGACAGCCACAATATGTGCAACTTACTCAGGATTCTACCTTCTGCCTCTGGGGGCTCTACCAAGGTTCTGCTCTTGATCAAGTAGCTGATCCCGCAGCAAACTGTGGTTGTTTATCTGTGGCAGATATTTTGCCACAATGGCTGCAACATCAGCATCGTTCTCATCTATGAGGCTATACTCAGCATCAGTGTGTGCAGTACTGGCATCATGTGAAGTGTGAAGTGCCTTCAGCGATGCAGCCTTCCGGACATAACGCAGAAGCCTATTGCATGCCCGGCAGCTTGTGCCGTGTGCAAGAGCCGGTTTTAGCCAAAGGCAAGTGCGAGCACGCTGGCGAATCTCTTCTGGTTCTCCCTCGGCTGTCTGGAAACGCTCAACTGTGTGAGAGAAATGTGGTATGTTTTCGACTATTTTGTTTTATACTAATTACAGTATGGCCCCATTAAAACGTGGTCGTTGAGGTCTGTGAAATGTTATTGCGAAAAAAGCAGGGTTGCAGAAAATCTGAGTATAACTATAAACCGATCTAATGGTGACATAACATCCCCCAAAACACCCCTATTTTGGCCCTAGTTAACCCGTTGTTTTGCACGTTTATGTTCTATTGATAGCAATAGACACTGCGAACTAAGGCCGGCTTAACTCGCCAAAATATTTTCCAGTTTTTGAAAGAGCAACAAAAATGTCTATATCACTTTATATTCGAATTCTCGTTAAATCAGGGCACGTACAATTTGGATTTCACTGCACCTCTAATGCTTTAATGCTGACAGCACTCCAGTCTAATTACTTCTCAAAATAATGGTCTCGAAACGTAAAATCCATAAAGTAAAGTCAAAGCAAGGTATGAGCACCTGGTTGTGGGCCTGTAGTTGACACTCCCAATGGCAATCCTTTGCACATTTCTGCATTAGCTACCTGGCGGAGTAGCTTGTCGACATCCTGAACACGAAACATGCCATCCCCAGGTGACAGCAGACTCGTTTGGCCACTAGTCAGCACACAGACGACTCCAAAACTTAAATTCCAGTGACCATTTCTATACACTTCTAATTCTTTAACAACTCTCTGCTGGTTGATAATACCAATAGAATTAGAAGACATAATTTTGATACTGCTGTCATTTTTCGTGACTACTTGCCACCAAGGTTTCATTCGCAATGCAATGTCATGCAGGCTAATCGTGTCTTCTGGTTGCGGGTGCCGGTATGAGACGCCACGATATATTCTTACATTATTTTCACCCTTTCTTTTTACACAAGAAGTAATGCCAGGAAATATTAATTTTACATGTGTTCCAAAAAGGACCTTTGATACGGTTGGGTTAGAGCAAGACTTCATAAAGCTCGTGAAAACATCGTGTGCTGTTAGATAACCTTGTTCATCAATAACCAGCTCTCTTTTAAGCCTTAAAATATATAGAAAATATATAGAAAATTATATGTAAGTCAATTGAATAAGAGTACATCAAAATTATAGTATAGTGCAATAATATAGTATAGTATGGTAATAATTATGGTTACAATTAGTATGGTACAGTAATTATAGTATAGTGGAATAAAAAGAAAATTATATGTCAGTCAATTGAATAAGAGTACATCAAAATTATAGTATACTGTATAGTGCATAACAATCCAAAAGTATCTGTGGTTTGCATAATAAAAGGAAACGTAATACTTAGCAGGTGCACTTCTACTAGCTAACGTTGTTGTCATGATTAGTACACGTACAATGTCAATAAAAAGAAAATTATATATGTAGGCCTACCAAGGCAAGACTAGAGTATATCAACATTGCATATATATTGGCAATTATTTGCATAATAAATTGCATATTTGCAATAATTTGCATAATAAAAGACTTACCAATTACTAATATAACTTCTCATTTCTAACGTTGCCATGATTAGCACTCAGTATTGTTTAGCAAAGCCGGAGGCATATGCTGTTCAGATGCTGTTTCAGATGTTTTGATTTTGGCGCAAAAATGACGTCACGTATGCGGCCGGTAGGGGGTCTCCAGATCCCGAAGTTTGTTACAGTCACACGCGCAGTCGCTAGCGATCGCGAGAATTTCATGATTTAATTCGTGATTTTGCGTGACACAGCTCTGTTTTGAAGTGAGACATGATATTTCTACAACAAGTGAACACTGTACTTCAATTAGCAGCAAAGATGGAGTCGTAAGGTTGAGTATTTCTGTTGTAATCGTGTGTAATCAAGCGAGCGTCGAGCGAATTCCGGGTGCACGCTTTCATAGCTGCTCTATATTTATGTGTCAGTGTGCGCGCAATGGCACCGGCGTGTTCACAGTTGAAATGCTTCAAGTGCCTGTGCTCCTGACAGTGTTTTTATGACCGCATAACAATATTAAGTTTATATATGGCAGTGTCTAAACGACCGGACCCGGTTTCGGAGTTCTGAAAGCTAAACAACCGGCTCTCTTCTCTGCTTGTTCAGTTTCCGAACATAACAGGACAAATATACAATAGTCAATAGGACAATTTTTAATGCAAAACATATTTAATTCCGAACATAAACAAACGTTACAGAACAGATAAATGAATACGGAACAAATAAAATACAAAGAAATACAGAAAGCAGAGGAAATTAAAAACACCTTATTGGGTTCGAACACACGGTACTGTTATACCCAGGGGCAAACGCCCATTTTTGCGGGCGTCAACCAGACATGGGGGTGTTGTAAAAGGTTGTTTGTATCAACGGTGTTCAGGAGACCTCCCTGAACACGTTCCAGTGGACTACCCTGAAATATGCTGCTGAAAAAAAATGGCGGCCAATTTTCAAAATGGCCATCATGTCTAACTAATATTAACAATTTGAAGATAATGTTTGAATAGAACCCTCCTTTCACACGTGTGTGGTATCATATTAAGGGAATTAAATTCTCTATAGATGTACCACATTTACTGGCGCGTGTTGGTGATTATCGTAACAATTTTGCCGGCCAATAATGTGATTTTTTACCATTTTGGTCCCAAAATGATATGCAATTGCACCAAAAATACATTTCGTTCTCCATATTGTCAAAAACCCTTGTCTCAGTAATGCTATTGCAAACTTTTCCAAAATACTGGCCCACTATATATGGTTAATAATGTCTGAATAGGCACAAGTTCATAGCTGTTCTAACAACTAAAGTTAATATGTGCCTTCCACTTAAAATTTTGATATTAGCTGAAATTCAGCATTCTGTTGCTACATTACACCACTAGCCTTTCTCCGCCTATATCCGATATAACTCTTGCGTCGGTCTTGCGAACGTGCTTTCACCCATCGTGAGTGTGGTTATCATATAAAGGGAATTGAAATTCTCTACAAGTGTCTATACCACATTTAATGGTGGGGATGATTGCATAAACAATTTTTAGCCAAAAATGAGATTTTGACCAATTTTTCAGCAAAAATATGAATCTGCACCCAAAAATACATTTTTCTCCATAATTTCAAAAATCCTTCAATAATGAATTGAATACTGTTCCAGAAAACTAGCCCATAATATAGTTGATATGGTCGCTGAAGAGGATCAAGTTCATAGCTTTTATCATA